TTAGACATCGGCTATGTTTTATTTGATTCACTTTATTGAATTCAGAATCCAAAGTCTATTAATAATAAAACCCAGATTTACCCTTGAGCAATTTCAAGGTTACAAGATGCCTAACATTTCTGTTAGTGGACTATAATAAATTCAACTTTGTTGCCTATGTTTGCCCTTGCAGTAAATGAGATGCCATTATTTTGCAGTTTGCAGCTAGGGGTGAAGTTAAACTACTCAGTTTGGATACTTTCATAATTTGGGATCATTGTAGTGAAAGGCTGAATTTTCATCATTAGGCCATTTTACTTTTAAAATGAATATGAACAGAGGGTCCCAAAAATGTATACACATTTTAAGAAATGAAAAAAAGGTATTAAAATTGTAATACTCAATATACATCAATAACAAAGGAGGAACACAAATCATGTGTATACATTTGTTTGGCACTCCCTGTATGTATTTTTTATTTTAAGATTATTTATTTACTTTTCAGTCTGGATGTGACCTCTTCTTTATATCCTTAGTTATAGGGGTTCTGTTCAGCTAGTTGTCAGATGATTCTCGAGGTTGATTGTTTTATAATTTAGTTGTAATTTTAATGTGATCCTGGGAGGCGACAGGCATAGCATTTACTTATTCTCTCATCTTGGACCTCTCCTCTCTGAAATGAATATTTTTTATGAAGAAAGATATGACAAACCTAATCAACTGTAGAGAGACCATCAACATAACATATGAGACTTGAATTTTCTTTTTAGCTTTGTCACTGATTATCTGTGTGACCTTAGGTAGGTCAGTTTGTTACTATTATTGCATTTGCCAGGTAAGAACAATCAAGTCTTGCTTACCTCACAGAATTAATGAGGTGGTAGAATTATATAAAGTTAAGGTAGTAATATTACTAAGTGTTTAAATACCATTGATATTCAAAGATCTCTAAAAATGAGGGTGATTGGGGAAGGAATATGGAGATATCTCTTAATTATTTAATAATGCTCAGTTTGGGAGTGCTTGCCTCTTTCTTTTTGTACTCTGAGGATGGGATGCCTATTTTGGAAAAAAAATATCCAGGTAATACTAATATGTACCCTCACACACACTGCCCCGCATTGCATTTTGCTGATGGGTTGTGTTGAGACATTGGGATTGTCTTCTGCTTCGTGAATCTCTTCACTGTATCTGTGAATGAAAAGGCTTCAGTGCATTTTACAGTGCTGTAAATTCCAGGATTCCAAGCCAGTTTCAGTCAGAGGCTGTTTGGACCATATATCAACTTGCACTTCAGAAGATCTGTTGATCAGCTTTCCCAGTGTCACTCATAAATGTCTTGTGAAAAAAGTAAGCACCAGGGCCGGCCGAGTGGCGCGATGGTTAAGAACTCGCTTGGGACGCCAGGGGGCCCCGGTTCGGATCCCACATATGAGGGCCAGTGACACTGCCCTCTACAGCTAAGATGCTGAACAACAGCTCAACCTGGAGCTGGGCTGCCGTGAGTCGCCGGCGACGGCGTGGGCTGCAGTCCCTGTGGCAGTGGATTGCCATGGGCTACCGTGTGTGGCCAGCAGCCAGCGTGAGCGGCCAGCAGCTGCAGTGAGCGGCCGTCCAGAAGCCGGCGACTGATCTGCCTCGCCAGAGAAGAGCGCAATGATGGTGCCAACTTGGGCCAGTGAAGCAATGTCCTCCACAACTAGACTGAAGAACAAAACGACAGCAACTTGTCTGTTCCCCTTTCCCCAATTCCCCAGCACTGTTCCCATCCCCCCAATTTCCCAATAAAAATCTTAAAAAAAAAAAGTAAGCACCAAATGGCCATTGTAATTGTCTAGGACCTAGGGCCTCAGAAGAGCTGTCCTTTTTGAGTCTTTCCTGATTGCTTCTCCCCCCATTCATTTTTTTTGCCAATGCATTAGGGTGATCTGCTCTCCTAACTCTCCCCCACCCATTTTATAATCCTTTATTTTTTTTTATATTACCAAGAAAGGCATCAACAGGAGAGATAAACCTTTTCAAAAGTCATAGTTGAGAGGCATTTAAACTTTCAACAGCTACTATTCTTTTTTTGTTAAATGGTCAGAGATTCTATGTATGAAAAATAAAAATGAAGAGATGTCTACTTAGGATTAGTGCCTTTTTTTATTTCTACACTTACATTTTGAAGATAACGCGAGTTTATTGTTCCCTGTTAAGGGAGCCACTTTTCATATCTCAGGCGACCAGACCGACTTGAGAATGCAGTTTGGCATGTGAATAAAATGGGACACAGTGTTCATTTGCAATTTTATTTTTTAAAAATGAAATATTCAAAGTACTTTTTTTTCTTTAAATATCGACACATAATGATGTTTAACTTTAAATATTTACAGCATGTTGTTGTGATGCTCTTATAGAAAAATGCATGCTTCTGGCCTGAAAACCAGAGCAAAATGCAAAAGACCATTTAACTGCAGCCAGAGAACATGAACCTGTACAGTATCCAGTCACTTTTCAGCACAGGAGTGAGAGCGGGAATACAAAATTGGAACCTATATTTTCCTAGCAACACAGCTCAGGCCATTATAACACAATAATTAGAACCTCTAACTCTTGTTATATAGAAAATGAAAATCTTGGCATACACTGTAAACACCATTATTTTCCATGAAAAAGTAAGCAGCTAAAAAAGAATATTTTTTCTGACATAAAGGCTATACTTCTCTTTTTTACCTTTTCTTTTACTGATGCTTTTGTCAGAAGAATAGTAAATATTTAGACATTGTCATGATTCATACAAGTAAAATATTTTTCAAGGACACAATCTGATATACTAACATTTATTTAAGAAGTTAAAGTCCACCACTAAATCTAAGGAAAGATTTTTAACTGCCAAACACATTTCTTTTGACAAATAATGTAAGATGACAACTGCCAAGACAAAATCCACAGCAAGTTGAACTAACTATATTTTCAGTTACTGTTTAGGAAGTAATTTCTTCTTACACACAGTAGTATATTTGGTCCTTAATAGGTTTCATATGAAGGACAAACTGAAATAACAGTCACTATTTTGTGGTTGAATTATTTTTTGTTGTTGTTTGTTGTATTCGGGGGCGGGGGTTGTTTGTTTTTTTAATGTTTTTTTGTTTTTAAATTTTTTTATTTTTATTTATTTTTTTTGTGTGTGTGCAGTATAAAGAACCTTACAGAAGGCTGTGGAAGAGCAGTCTTAGATCTGAAGTACTAGTCAGATCAGGTATATACGTGTGTGTATTTCTCCAAGAAAGCAAGAATGTTGCATCCAATCTGTAGCCTTCTGTTTTCCACAAGCTATAATACACTCCAATCTCTCCAAAAGTTTATTTCAGTACTTGATTACTGTACTTTTGCTTCTATTACCACTGAACTCCACTACAATTGCCCTAACAGGAACATATCTTTATAAATTCAAAAACTTTGCCCTGACTCTCTCAGGCGATATACTATGGAGCCTGTTCTGGTTAAAAATATATTTTGGAAAAGGAAAGAAAAGGAAAAAAGAGTAGAAATAACATGATAGAATGCTTGAAACTATTCCCACATGATGAAAAAGGAAAATCTTATGAAAATTAAAATTTCATTTTATACCTCTCTATATAGTTAGCATATGAATTCCAAATTATACATTGTCAAGTTTTCATACATTTGGCTATGTTGTATATATTATATTATATTATAGTCTATAGGTTATAGATCTTCTAGATACATTGACAATAAAGGACACACTTTTTTATAATTATTTTTCTGGGTTAAAAATAAAACATATACCTATTTATATGGTGAGGGTTTTGCTTAAAATTGGACATTATTTCCCTTTCTTTCAGGAATCATACTTCTAATTAATGATTAGAATGACAACTAAAAATAAATGTATTTAAATATCTGTTAAACTGTGAACTTGTCAGCTCATTTGGATCTTTACACTGTAGTGCAAGAGTAAAAAAAAAAAAAGAAACAAAAAAGCACAAATAAAATGGGCCTAACCAGGAAAAAGGAGCAGCTACCAAATATTCCCTGCCTCCAGCCCAGAATGTGCTCTCACTCTAAGTTGCTTGAATGGGCTGTGGCTGTGCAGTGTCAGCCACCTACCTGTCTTCTGGGTATGATAAATTCACATATCTCTTTTTTAAAATGCTTTTAATTTCATCAGGAAATACAAATGAATTGGTCTTTCATTAATTTAAACTTCAGAACTAGAAGTCAATGAAGGAATTCTTTGTAGTCAGCTGAATAAGAAGCAATGTACTATCTCCACATTCTTATTCAGAAATGTCAAAATGTTTCTCTTACATTTACTACTCACTAGTGTTAACCTTTTGGGTTTTTTTCTCTTTCCTCCCAAAATCTTTGGAAGTGATAAAGAGAACAATAATATTTCAAGGCAGTATTAAAACCACAGCTGTAAGTGATAAAAAGTGCATTTCCTGAATATATTATAAATATAACTTTAAGAAAGTAAAGACACAAACTAAATAAATATGTATCACAAACTAGAAATGCACAGTTCAAGGTAGTTACTATTAAGAAAAAGATTCAAGGGGCCGGCTGAGTGGCGCGGTGGTTAAGAACTCGCTTGGGATGCCAGAGGGCCCCGGTTCGGATCCCACATATGAGGGCCAGTGACACTGCCCTCTACAGCTAAGATGGTGAACAACAGCTCAACCTGGAGCTGGGCTGCCGTGGGTCGCCGGCGACGGCGTGGGCTGCAGCCCCCGTGGCAGTGGGTTGCCATGGGCTACCGTCTGTAGCCAGCAGCCAGCGTGAGCGGCCAGCAGCCAGCGTGAGCGGCCAGCAGCCGCAGTGAGCGGCCGTCCAGAAGCCGGCGACTGATCTGACTCGCCCGGGAAGAGCGCAATGATGGTGCCAACTTGGGCCAGTGAAGCAACGTCCTCCACAACTAGACTGAAGAACAACAACAAAAACACAAACGACAGCAACTTGTCTGTTCCCCTTCCCCCAATTCCCCAGCACTGTTCCCATCCCCCCAATTCCCCAATAAAAAAAGTCTTTAAAAAAAAAAAAGAAAAAGATTCAAATATTTGTTTCTAATGGATATTTAAAGAAGTTTGAAAATGATACATCATCAGTGAATTGCAAAACGTATAATAGCTTAAAATAGAAGCAAAATAGACTAATATTGACATTTTGCATTAGTGATAAAATACTTCATCACATTTATGAATGTGCTCTGTATATAGTTCACAAATAATTTTTTCATTAATTTAAAAGAACATCAGATGTTCTAGGAACTTAAGGTTCATTTTTAGGTTGATGTGGAGGTATCCAAATTTTCAACAAGTTTGTTAGTCATTTTAGAATCCCGTCCTGAATGCCATCCTGTACCATTAACACAGGCCTAATTCAGAAAAAAAAAAAGAAATCTACAATGATGATAGTAGCCTGGATTAGTCATCTCTTAAACTGGTGCACTTCCAATTAAAAATAAAAGAGATGAGTTCATTATGAATCCTTTCTCTCTCTCCTTCTCTCAATACATGTGTAAGAAGGTGGTAATCCCAACCTGAAGGTTTTGAAAATGAAATGTTTGGATACACCCTGTCCTACCGTCTGCTGGTCCTTGTCTTTCTTTCACTCTACTTTTTGTAGTAAGGAGCCAGACTCCTTAAAACCTTATCCTGAGCCTGGATTCTGACTTTGCATCTTTTCAAAGACACTGTCATCACAAGCAAAGTAATGACTCCACACTGCATTTAGGTAGTAGGTGGAAATAATCCAAACTGCAGCATTCCAACATAAATTCTCCTTCAGACATAGCAAATGTCCAGACTCTGTGATGAAGGTGGCTCAGGGGAATTTTCTAGAAAATTCATTACCACAAATGAAAACAAATGTAATTTATTTTCATTTGTGGTAACTTACAATTACACAGCATTTTATAAACTGTCTCTTCGTCACTGGGCACAAATCTCCCAGCTCACCAAGTCTTCTTTTACTACAGGATTCATAGAGATTCAGAAACTGCAGCTGATATTAATGCTAATCCTGCGCTTTTCCCAAATTTTAAATGATTGCAGAATAAAATCACCCTCCCTGGGAAACAGTTATCTTCCTAGGCAGGAGAGATGATTAAATCAAACTAAGTGGACAAAGACAGAGAATTAAAATAAGTAATCATATAAATTGTTTTGGTAAAAAATAGTCTGCCTCTCTACAATTAGTTGAAATGTTTTAGGTTGGAAAGGGCACGCTTAATTAAATTTCCTGACTATGGCTGGGAGATGTTCAATAGAGAATTGTACATTTGAAAGATAAATCAAAGTGGGGTGAAACAATGTAGAGCAACTACTGTGATGTTTAGTTTGGTCTACCCTTTGGTACTTTCTTTTTAACCTTAGTACTAGGTCTATTTTTTTAAGGTTTTGGCTCTTATGGTTCTGCAGTAGTAGTGAATGTAATTTATTGATATCCCAAACATGTAGGCATGCTAAAGCTTCCTTTTTTTGTACCAGAATCATACTTTGCAGTAAATTACCTCTTGTGTGCACAAAACCACTGGATTAGTGTATAAATGCTGAATCACTAATGTGAAACTATGACAAAAACACACCCTATATATAAATGAGAAATTCCTACCCAGGTTAATAAAAGCATTTACATGATGCCAATACAGCTGGACAATTTAGTAAAAAAATGTAGTCAAAACAGGTTGTGTGGGAGAAATTACAATGGCCAGCTGCCTTGGTATCATGTTCACACAAGCAAATAGTGGTAATTCGGTCTGGGTACCACACCCACAGAGAAACATGGTAGACAGAACCCAGCCACCACACGCCAAAACACAGCACAACAACATAGAATTTACTTTAACAAGCAAGGAGGAATAATCAGGAAGGAAGGGCAAATGGTTCTTGACTCTAGGAGAGGATGGCTGAGGACATTTTATACTTCTTTTTAAGTTTCCTATAACAAATCTGGAAAATGTGAAAGGGTTGGCAGTCTTTCAAAATGCAAGGTTCAGATCCTATTGCACCACCTTTCCAAATAGCCTGCAAGTTCTGCCAACAGTTAAATATGAAACTTTGTGTCCCGATAGAGATACAGAACGTTGGGTTTGTTTTTGTATACTTGAGCATAAATATGCATGGCTCAACAACTTTAAAGTGGTGCTTTCTGAAAACTTTTTGTTTTTACTGTTTTAATTTTACTTGTGTTACTTTGAACACTGGCACAGAGGAACTAAAAATCTCGGTCATTTCTTAAATAGTTTAAACAAACAATATTAAAATACCATCTTCCGTCACATTGAAAGGCAGTTGGATATGTTTTTCCTCCATATTTACATATACAGAGTTCTGATCTAGAAAACCAATACAATAAGCCATTTTTTGTTTTAAAAACAGGCAGTCTTTGGTGACGCAAAGGCAGATATTTTTTTTGTTACCTCTTGCCTATTTCGCTCTGTCTCATGAAGTGAATATTGTTGGCACTGTCAGAAAGTTCTAAATACTGCTCAACAGACAAAACAAAATACCCATCATAACCTTGTACCCTCCCAGTGCTCAAAAGCTGCTGCTTTTCCCCCTCTGTCCACGCCCGAATCCCCTCCTCCCCTTCTTGCAGCCTTCTTTGTTCCTTAGTCCAGGCCTGGGCTACCGCGCGCTGTCTGGCGATCTCCAACACGTGATTCTTCTCCTCTTCGACAGTTGTCCCATATCTGATGTTGAAGCAGAGAGCTCCATGCTGGAGCTGGATATCTGCAAACCGTCTAGTCCTCCCATTCAACACAGAAGTCATCTGGGACACAGTGACATTAACCCCATTCTCTAGAATCCGCCTCCCCCCAGTGTTACCGATGAGCACCAGGTCTTCCTCCAGAGACCCAAGCTTAATGAAATAGTGAGTGTCCCTCCCATCTATGGTAAAATGTAGGTTTTCCAGGTAGTGAGCATTATTGAGAATGGCAGCAAGCCGCCTGCTATCTTCATTGGCTACTCCTATGATGTCAGCTGTTACTATGCCATCCTTGATAGCAAATTTTATACCTTTTCCAAAAACAGAAGAAACAGCGGCAAACCTTGGTTGTTTCCCTCCTTCAAGGCACCGTTCATTATATCTGGGAGTCATAGGAAGTTGGTCCAAGGAAATGAAATTCCTGAGCTGTTTCTGAAGCTCACACTGAATACCCAAGATAGTCTAAGAAAGAAGAAAGGCACATTGCAAATGTAGCAGAAAATTTAGCATCTGTCTTATGCTTGGTGATTGTGGAAAGCAAAGGCTTCCAAGGTTGCTTCCCTCTCTCTCTAATTTGTTGGTTTGAGATTTAAAAACAAGCCAAATTTGGAATCTCTTCATCAGAGATTTGGAAAGAAAAGACTAACAGTTGACGTGATCAACTGGCATATATTCCTTGGTATCTTGGTGTGTTAAACATAGGGAAATTTGTTCAAACTTGATATTATAGACTCTCAGAGCTGGAAGACACTTCAAATTAAGTGGGTCCAGCTCCCCCAAAACAAAGACATTTCCTTTTTGCCAATTTAACTAACAACAACTAGCTGTTATGACTGTGTAGAGTAATACATTAGGCACAGGTATAAAGAGATGCATATGGCATCCTTCTTGCTTTCCAGCCGCTTATGGCCTTCTAAATATTGGCTTGTTGGAAAAGTCATGATGAATTTTTGAAACGAAAAACATAGAAAAAAATACATCTTGACTTTTCCAACAACCCAATAATAACAGCAAATCAGCAAGAAGTTCAACGATCTTTTTACGTGGACTTAAAATAAAAACTCTTTTTATTATAGAAATTCTCGAACATACTAAGAAATAGAGTGGAGAGGATAATGAACCTCCAAGTATCCATTACAAAGCTTCAGCAATTTTCAATATTTTGTTAAACATTTTTTAGGATTTTTAATTACAAAAAGCATTTACATATTATATGTAGTTACAAAAAGGGATAACCCTGTAGGACCTACTTAGAATTTCATTCCCCTTACAATTTTTTACACTTAAATTTCAAGCCCTCCCACCCAAATTTCAGTTTTACATTTTTGCACGCAGGTATTCTTATTTCTTTCAATTGAAAGAAAAAGTTCCTTCTTGTTTTCATTTGTACCTCATACTCCTAATGCAATCATTTGCTAAAACTTGAATGTTTTGGTATTCCTATTTTTCCAGAGATGTTATCCCTGTAATATTTATTATTGTTGTTTCATTGCTCATATGTACTTTTTCTTTATCAGAATTATTTAATTCTGTTATTTTCATGTTCTTAATGCATTATGCCCTAGATTATTTTGCAGCTGGAAATGTGATGTTATTCCTTTCTTTTAATGAAGAATTTTCTCCATATAGAATCCATAATTACCCTTCAAAGCCCATTTCAGAATTTTGAAAGTCTAGGTCCTCTTTCCTGTTGTTTGTCTACCCCAACAGTCATCAAGTCACATGATAGTCTTTCCTTTTCCAAAAGCTCCAATCCCTTGGTCCTTTCCTCGTGGGAGCTTTTTTCTACCTCCTCCTTTATCATGAACATTTTAATAAACATTGAAGGCAACTCAAAAATAAGTAAGCAAATATATATTAATACTATTTCATAGTGTTGGGTGCTTTTCTGTTTTTTTTCAGCTAAGTAGAGATAATAAAACTTTTACTAACCTTTCCAGGATCCCACTCTTGAGTTTTTGTCTGAAGCTGTAGAAGCTCATAAGTTAATTCCAAATTTTCTAATTCTGGTTTAGGAAATCCAGGTAGTACATTGTGTAACTGGAAACCAAATAGCTCCAACCAACTTCCAATGTCTGTGAGACACAAAATTTAAAAGAAAAAAATTTAAAGCCCATACTTTACAACTTTTGTAGTTTAAAAGATGCCTTTCATGCCTTCAATAGGTTTAGCCAATGGGAAATTAGGGATAAAACTCCCTCTTATATCACCCACTCTAAAGCATATGACTCTCTCTCTACAGGGAAACCTTTGGATGCTTGGATAATCACAAGGATAGTCTCATTTTACTGCACTGAATTGTTAACGTGATAGTAGTATGAAGGCTACACAGACTGTGATGTTAGATTTGTTTGATGCAACAGAATCCTGAATTTTTCTTTTATGAAATTATTTGTATAAGCTTTTAAGAGTGAAAACTACAAACAGAAAGCATAAAAGGGAAGAAAAATGCACTGGAATGCAAAAGATGCACAGTTTTGCTCACTCTAGAAGACTAAGGAAGAGAATGATTGCAGAACAACTTGTGGGCTAACTGTCAGGAAGAGGAAGCATATTTACAAAGACATTGAGATTATGTGATAAACACACCACTGAGTTATCTCTTTACTTTAGCGTAAAGTTTTATACTGTTTAAATACCTGTAGTGTACTTTGCAACATCTTGAATTTTGCCAACTGGGTAGTTATTTTCAAAGGAGTAGAGGTTGAATGGTTTAGGAAGGATGTTCAACTGTTTCCATATATGATGATTAGGTGTCGTCCATCTACCAGCAACAACATCATAATCCCTTTGCCCCAGGTGCACTAATTTAGTAAGGAAATCATAAAGTCCTCCATGAAAACCAATGATGACCTGAAAGTCAGGGTAAGTGTCATGATAGATATCTCCATAAGGTGTGTACAATATCTCTTTTATCACTTGACCTCGACTGCTGAACACAGCTAGCGGGGTGCCTGTATTATCACAGGCTACATAATATTCTTCACCACTGCTTAGCTCCATGGCAATAAGGTGACCTTGGAGATCATAATACAAGGATGTAATCTCTGAGCTTGTGTGGTTGTACAAATGAGTAACTCTTATGGGATTGGCAAGGTCTGCATAAAAGAACTGGAGGTGCTGCCGTAGGCTGGACTTACTGGCAACACGTCGCCCAAGCCCATCATAGTAATATTGCACACTCCAGCCAGAAGCCTTATTGTAGGCTTTCTGCAGCAGACCATTAGAATTATATTCAAAGATGTCATTTCCTCTCTGCTTCAGAAAGCCATCTTCATCCATTTTATACTGAATTTCTCCTAGCCTGGTGATGCGATCCCGGAGGTCATATCGGAGAGGAGTAAGACGAGCACTATTCCCATGGCTTAAGAGGTTGATGTTGCCATTCAGATCATAACTGTAACGCCATTGGGTTTTATCATTTACAGAAACAGTTTGAAGTTGCCCATCAGCATCGTATTCATAGAAGTATCTTGTTATATTGGCATCTACTCCTACTCTTATATCACATATTACCATACGGCCCATATTATCATATTGAATAGTCATCCAGTAGGCAATTGCCTTTAGGATTTCATATTGGACTTCAATAACTTGTCCATTGGCACTGAAAATCTTAGTGTGCTTCATCACTGTAGTAGTGATGACTTGATTTAAGTCGTAATTAATCACACTGAATTTTCCAAACTGCTCTGTTCTACCAGATACATCAATATATCGGTACAGGTCTATAGGCAAAGGGGTTTCATTTATCACAGCTTGCATGCTTGTGACACGGAAGTTGTTGTAGCTGTAGTCAAACCGAGCATTCACAAGACCTTCTTCACTGAATCGGAAAATCTGGCGTCCAATAAGAGGTCCTGAAGGAATCGAAATAAAAATAATGAGAACAAAACTAGATGCTTAATGTTAAGCAATCAGAAAGGTCTAGTGTTTTTTTCTTTAGTATTAATGCTTTTACTTCTAAATAAAATATTAGAGATTGTCCTGATATCTAATGCCTGGGCATATCATCTCATTATCTCATAGTATATATTCTCATAGTTGTGGTCACAAAATTTGAAAAAAAATACTGTATATTATAGTTATAGAATAATTTAATTATAGGAACTATAGAAGTAATAACCCATCCACTAGCTGAGGTGAGGACACTGATATTATGAATATGCTTTGTTTTTATAATCAGTGGCAAAAAAGCTTTCAATTCATTTAACCCATGCTACAAAGTCAGAGGATCATGTTTTGACAAAGTCCAGCATTCAAGTAACTGGATTTGGACATTTTATAAACTCCAAGAATGAAATATAATAAAAAGTTCTGACTTTTAAAGATAATTTGCTATCAACTGAGGCTTATAGAGGTTAGAAAGGGCTTGAGCTCATTTCAGTGAGACTCATATCTTTTTTTTAAACTGTATTGGGGAACAATGGGTTTTTTCGCAGAACAATGTGTTTTTTCCAGGACCCATCAGCTCCAAGTCAAGTTGTTGTCCTGCAATCTTAGTTGTGGAGGGTGCAGCTCAGCTCCAAGCCCAGTCGCCGTTTTTTTCAATCTAGTTGGGGCAGGGGGAGGGAAGGGGCGCAGCCCACCATCCCATGTGGGAGTTGAACTGGCAACTTTGTTGTTAAGAGCACTCGCTCCAACCAACTGAGCCATCCGGCTGCCCAAGTGAGACTCATATCTTGCAGCTGCAACTTTGGGACAATTTGGTGGTAGGTAGGAACAGGTACACAGTTAGACTAGGTACTTAGATCTCAACTTTCTTAAGAGCTGAGAAATGCACTGTATGTTTTTAAGGAATCAGCTTTTATGTAGCCTATAATATGTTTTTAATTATTAATGGAAGATACCTTGATAACTAAAGTGACAGTTTCTTGGATTCAGTGTCTATAGAGTAATGCTTCTATCTCAGACTGTGGGCAGCAAAAATCTCATGAGAAAACATGATATGATGTACACAACATCACCACCCTTTCACAACAAACCTGTTTGCCTGTATCTGATTGTGCAAATGAAGCCATCGTGCATCAGGTGTATTGTCTTAATCACTCCAGAAGACTCTTCATATGTTAATGTGACCTGAGTGGTATCATACAGAATCTCAGACAGTCTTGCTTGCTTGGTGTACTTGTATAAAACTCTGCGCCCTGTCCCTAGATGCAGGGTCTGTAGTAGTCGGCCATCTTGACTATAGTCCTGGATAAAAGAAGTGGTACTGTCTGGTGGGGTATAGATGTTCCGGTAGTAGCCCACTGAAAGCATGGTTTGTAAGCTGTGGCGCACCATACTAGGCATGGTGACTGAGAACAGACAATCCGATTGGTCATACTCAAAGATGTAACGGCGCTGGCTATGTAAGAGAAGCATCACGGACTGAAATGAGACAAAGGCAAAGTAGCATAACATGTACCACTGAAGTGGAGAAAATTATAATAAACAGAATACACATATATCCATTCCACAAATTTATCGAGCACTTGCCAGGTGTTGTGGTGCACCCTAGTAGATACAGTAGAGGTCAGTAGTGGTATCCATCCTCATGGAGCTTACAGTTTAATGTAGAAGAAAGATAAGTAACCAAGCCATTACAATATAGTGTGAAATGTGTTATGACAGGGGAAGTACAGGATGCTTTTGGGAGGCAGAGGAATAGCAGATAGTCCAGACTTAAAAGGTCAGGGAAGGCTTCTGGGATAAAGTGACATCTGAACTGAGACCAAAAGGATGACTAGGGGTTGGCCAAGTGGTGGGGAGGCAGGTGGAGTGGAGTAGGGAAAGAGTATTCCTGACAGAGGGCACAGCATTATCAGGGTCTGGGTAAGAAAGAGAGCATGGCTTTTTCAGAGAACGAGAGAAATTTTGTATGGCCAGAGCATGGGTATGTTAGGAGGGGGGTGGTGGTGAATGGCAAGAGATAAGGCCAGTTAGGTAGGTTAAGTCTAGGTCATAGTGGGTTTTCTAAGCCATGCTAAATAGTTTGCACTTAAACATGTTGGCAACAGGGAACTACTGAAAGCCAGGGTAAGGAAAGGGAGTTTGCACAGCTGGGAGAAATAATCAAGTCCAGAATTCAGAAAGGTTATTGTTGCTTCAGTATGGAGATGGATTGGAGTGTGGTAAATGGGGGGCAGGGCATGACATGTATTACGTTATAGTCACCAAAATGTATTTATTGACTTCACATAGTAGATGTCGTCCCAAAAAGTTGTATATTAAACATTATTATTATTGCTTTGCAATTCATGTTATAAACTATATTAGGGGATCATGCCATTAAAAGTGGAGAAGCTTCTGGTTATGCAAGCTCTCTCCCCAACCAAATCTGTATTTCAGAAACAGCTATTTGTTGAGGTGTAATGCCTTGCACGTATTAAATATTTCAATGATATTAGTTTATCTTATTTTAATATTAAATCTAGACATAAAAGGAGCACTGTTTTAGGGAGGACTCAATTCTATTTCTAATTGAAAAGTACTTAAATCTCATCTTCTAATAAAAATAAATTGCTCACCCTTGGAAATTCTGACATAATTCCTCAAGGGAATTTTACCCTTCCCTTCCTGAGAATTACCTTATCAAGCAGAAAGACTTAGTTGAGCTTTATTTTCTGAAATTTCTGTTATGAAAACAATAGGTATCTTTTTATTTTCTAAATATAAATTACATAAGTACTGAATATGAATTATAGAAACACATATAATGTACATTTAAATCTTCGTAATTGCATATCCTCCCTGCCCTCTGAGAATTATTGATTTTGAATTGAATGTCAGTACTGTGAAGTCAAAGTCAGCATTTATTTGCTCATTCACTCATCCTTTCTTTTTTACCAAGTACTCTGCTGCGGGACACACAGCTGCAGGTGCAAACCCTGTCACCTCAACACCTCTGGACAACCTGCAGCTCTGAAAACCCTACTGAACTGAGGGCAGGAGACTTGGCACTCCTGTGTATGCATGAGGACACAAAAGGAGAACCTCCTCCTTGACCAAAGGCATAACTCAACAGAACCTCGTGGGAATTGGTGGAAAATGCCTTTATGTTAACCTCTATGCTGAATGTCACATTTCCCAGCAACTTTCCACTATCTTCTGTCAAATGGCCATGAAAAGCTGACATCTGTCACCTGATGCAGGCCAGGGACAATCATCATATGCTTCCCACACATTATCTAGTACCATCCTTGCCAAACATTTATAGCACATCGCCGTTGTGTTCTCTCCCCTGCTCTCATACTCCATGCTGCAGTCAACCACTGCCTGACCCTGTTCCTAGGCGGTGCTGATGCTGCACTGTCTTGAAAATTCTGTAGTCTGTTTTAAAGGTTCCTTCCAATGGTAAGAATGTGGATGACCTGATTAGGAATCTTGTGAATGTAACCGTTGTATTGCCAGAATACCATTTAGCCCTCACTTGGCTGCTTTTTCACATTGGGTGGGCATTATTATGTGTTTGTTTCAAAAACAATGCTTATGGGTCCATCCAAAACCCACCGTGCTGCTACAGGATAAAAAGCTATTTCTTATTAGTCCATACAATAGAGTGGAAGACATTTTTTTAAAAATCGATTGTGAGATCACTGTAAAGAAGAAAAAACGAACAATTGTGACTGTATACTCATTTGAACAAGAATAGACATGGTAAAAATTTGAAAAGTTAAAGCATTCCAATGACCACCAGATGGCAGTGTGGTGCCACCTGAAAGCTCAAGCCTAAGGTGCATGCACTCTGTACCCCCAGGCTGCCTTTGAAATTTCAGCCTCAAAGAGGCAATTTTGTATAAATGTATCAGACTAAAGCACCTTATTAAATTGTTATAAAATATATTTAAATACATTTTTAAAATAAAGTTCTTAAGAATGATTTTAGGAAACTGGAAGATTTACATTTACTGTAATACAAAACTTAACCCCACAAGCCTTCAAAATACAATTAATTCAGAGAAGTCTCATAAATCAGGATAGAGAATTAATAGCCACATAGAGAAAACTCAAGAAACAATAATTGATTTTTTTAATAGAGAAGAGATCATTTAAGCAACTGCAGCTATTACCCAAGTAATTATTTTTCTCCTAATGGCTACAAACCATTGTGCATGAAAATGATACGTGTAACTTTCACTTTAGAGGAAGTCAAACAATTTTTGCGAAATTTCTACACTTTAAGGTAAAATACCTGCTGTTGCTTTTTAATATATTATGGTATAGGGGTGGCAAGCAAATTTACAGAGGTAATACCAGACGTATTTTGAGGTATAAAAGGTATACATTTTAAAGCTTGAGAATTCTTTTTTTTAAAAGATTTTATTGGGGAATTGGGGAAGGGGAAAAGTTTTGGGGACTTGGGGAAGGGGAACAGCCAAGTTGTTGTCCTTCAGTCTTAGTTTTGAAGAGCGCAGCTAGCTCAGCTCCAAGTCCAGTCACTATCCTGCAGCCTGTCGGCAGCTCACGGCCACTCAGCTCAAGGTGCCGTGCTCAATCTTAGTTGCGGGTGGGCATAGCCCACCATCCCATGCAGGAGTCAAACTGGCAACCTTGTTTTCAGGAGCACATGCTCTTACCATCTGAGCCATCCTGCCACCTGTTGGCAGCTCAGTGGCAGCTCAGCTCTGGCGCAGCTCACTGGCCCATATGGGAATCGAACAGGAGATCCTGTTGCTCAGAGCTCGTTCTCTTAACCAACTGAGCCAGTTGGCTGGCCCCCAAAGTTTGAGAATTCTTACTTTAAAATACTACAAGAGTCAGCCTCTTTGTTCTTGCTCTGACCCAGACACTTGAAAAAATATGCCAGCAAAGGCCATGTTAAAGAGAAGACTGAAATAAGCTGAGGAATACACAGAACCTCATCACTTCACTGGAAAAGTTACATGTAAATTGGATTTGGCAAATTCAATCTTCTTTCCCTTTTTTTTCTGGAATCACAATTTCAAAGATGTTTAATTTCCTCCCATCTTTCCCCTCCCCTCCCCTCCTTCCTTCTTTTTGTTCTTTCCTGTTTTAATTTATCTTCAAGTATCAGTAATTGCTAGCAGTTAAGTCATTTAAGTTCTCGGCCTGAAAATAAATACTATAATGTGCTATATTTAAATGGAAAGAAACTGACTTTTATTGAATGACTAGATGTGCTGAGAGCTTTATGTTATTTCATTTAGTCATCACATTTATTCAGTGAATTAGTTGTCTAACTGGTAATAATAATGTTATTAAAATCAATCTCATGATAAAAGATTTTTGGAAAGAACCATTCCATATTTATGTGTTTTGAGATTATAAACTTGATCGATTTATTCAGCAGAAAAGAACTCATGGTGGGTAGAGCAGAGGACTCCCTCCTTTACCCTGGCTCCCAAGTGGGGTCTGCTTTATCACCTAGGCATTTCCAACTTGGCAAATTTCCCAGTGACTGGCTGAGAAATACTACAATAGTTTTATAATGACATACAATACAACCACTGGCACACTTAAAAAAGGAGAAAACTTTGGGGGGGGTATATCAGAAAGGCTTGGCATTGTTGGGTGAAAATAGTGAAATTTTGCCAAGTGAGCTATGAGCTTCTATGACTTTTCTAAGAACTTCTAGAAGTTACCTTGGAATGATTACTCTTGACTTCCCAATGGAAAGCATTTTTCAGTTTCCCCAGAAATTAATTCAGGACTGATAAATTCATTTGATAGATAGATTTGGGAAACAAGAGACACTATCTTAGGTCATTAGAAAGTGAGAGTCAGATAGAGATCAATTTCTCTTATTGTCCTCTGCTACTGATCTGGCCAGAAACTATTTTGGTGTGTGGAACCTGATATTTGACAAATGGTTTTGGTGGAACGATTAAAGTCCTTGTCTATTCCTAACAGACAAAGGCTACAAATTCCCATTACAGATGCTACCGGAGACTCATTGCACACAAAGGACTATTACCAATAAGTCCCGCTGCCGCCATTCCCTCAGACTGATTATTGTGAAAATTGGCTTTCAAGTGTATACTACTAAAATTTCACTGGCTATCCTAACAAAATTAGAAATCCTTATCCTCTGTTTAAGAGGCCTTTCTCCAGAGCTGAGATACATTAACACACAATTTTATAATGTGTCTACCCATTTTACCTCAGTATGAGCTTTCATAATAATAAAGATACCTTTTCAAGAGCATGAACAAATATGCCTAAATGAGGAGAAAGCTAAGCCATTATCTTGACTTCAGTTTGAAGTACCTGGCAGAGTGTGGTGTTAGAAAATTTTTTCAGCTGAAAAACAGCTTATTTTTATAGGATATATCTGTATCTATATCTATAACAAATATATATATATATTTATTATATTTATTATAATATATATATATATATATATTTGTTATTGGTCGGTTGGTTGGTTGGTTACTTCTACACAGCAGAACACCCAGAACACAGACTTTTCTCCCACAGGTCCTCCCCAAGTTGGGTACTTAGGGTCACTTTCAATATCCTCAGTCAGAAATTCAGAGCCAGCTTATTTTCCCTACATACTTACCTTTTCTAAGTAGGTATAGCTCCAAATTTTCCCATCAGCCCAAGTTCTTGAAATTATTTTTCCACTTTGGTCATATTCCATTTTTTCATTCCACATCCCTCTTTGAAGAAATGTCACCAGTCCCGAAGAAGAATATGTGATATTCACTTCATTATATCTGCTTACGGGAGACCATAGGACAGGTCTCCCAGTTTGGTCATAAAGAATTTGAAGGGTGAATTTCCGATGGTCATCATAGATCTTTCCTGTGTGAGTTATATGATCAAAATCTATAGAGAGCAGGTTTCTGTTATGGGCCTACAAAAAAAAAGATATGAAATACATTTTAAGCACTGCCTTGGCTCCCCCTATGTAGTGCATTCACAATCACAAAGTTTTTTCTGATTCTCCGACAATGGGTCTCTCTTGCCTTTGAATCCACATGACTTTTACCTTCCTCAGATGATACTTATCTTTATTCTCCCACCAGACTGTACAATCCTGGAGGGTTGGGGTTATGTCTCAACTCCTGGCATGTGCTAGATACTCAGTATAAGGTTATTGATTGTTTTCTCCCAACTCAAGCCTCACGGGTACTGACACAGTTTTCATTTATGTGAGTCAGATGCCTACTAAGGAGCAGAACTTCCTTCTCCCCTTTTTTCCCTTTTTACCAGTGAAGTGTCTAGAACATATAATGGTGAACTATTTACACAATTAAAAATTAGAAAAAAGGAATATAGTGACCAGCCTCTAATTTATACAGATTCACTTCTTTGGCTTCCTTGTTCATCTGGGCTCAGAGGTACACTACTTCACATCTATCACAGGGGAACATAGAAACTCAGGTTGTCCCCTAGTGATGGAACCCCATTCAGCAATATTTTCAGAGACCAGTAGGTAAATATGGTAGGTGTTGGTAGGTCCCACAGTATTTGTAAGGGTGGTGCTACTAAATGAGGTTAAAGCACAGAATTCAATTTTGACATCAAGTTTACAAATAAACTTGGAAGATTTGCACCCTCCAATGTGAATCACTCCTAATGGTTTGCTGCACTTCATTCCATTTATCCAACTTTTTTTTTGCATAATCTGTGTCCATAAATTTAAAGAAGACAACTAGAATTGTACTTAAAATTTTATGTCCTATTTTTTCAGTTAATGTTTTATCTTGAGCATTCCTCATGTTATTAAATATTTTTAAAATGTGCATTTTAATGGTTGCATAATATCTTCCTACATAATCAACATTTATTTATTATTTCTCTTATTGTTGGCAACTAGAGTTTTTGTTTTTCTTTTGTATTTCTCATTTGTTGAACACTTTTATAAATACATATATCCTTAGTACAGAACACTATAAGTGAAATTACTGGAGCAAATGATAAGAACATACTAATGACTCCTGATGCAACTTGAGATATTACTTTATAGTGCACATAAATGGTTGTACAAATTTATGATACCATTAACTAGTAGTGGGAGGGTCTATCTCATTCCATTCTTATCAGCATTGAGTATTATCATTGTTGGTAAACTTTCCCCACTATGAGAGTGGGAAAATAGTATGTTACTATGGTTTAAATTTGCATGTATTTGATTACTAGTGAAAATGAACTCCTTTTAATGTTTATTGGCCATATGAATGTCTTGTATGAATTGTCTGGTCATGACATTGGCCCATTTTTCCATTGGGGTGTGTCACTTTGCTTTCCAAAACCTCTTTTGCTTTCAGTTTCTTCATCAACCAGCTGAGGCTAATTATATTTGTCCTTAATTTTGAGCTTCTGCAAAAATAGAATCTAGCAAATGTTCTGTGCCATGGGTTCTATCCAGAAGACTAGCGATTAGATACTCAAATTATTTAGAAGGAAGTGCTCTTAGTTTCAGGGATAGGTTTCATTTAAGTAATAGAGCCACAGATTGGAAATCATGACACTTTAAACCATCTGTAGCCAATGCATGCAATGTTGTAAGGCATACATATATAGTAACCTGCTGTTGTCATCTAAAAGGTGATAGAGAAGCACATATTTTCTGTCTGTTGATATGCAGGGCTTGGAAACCTATATGAAACCAGGTGTTCTTTCTTCAACTACCTTTCCTGTGGTTTTATAGCCACATATCTCCAACCACAATACCGTTCATTTACAATAGCTATAAAATATCCATGTACTTCCAGAGATGGTTGTAACAGTTACAACTTATGTTATAATGATAGTTAAAGAGCCAAAGTAACAAGTGATTTTCAGTTCAACTAAAGTTGTGGTTTTATTTGTCTGACAGATTAAGTTTACAACTCAAGAACACATTTCTTAATAAAGCCATTACAGCTACACAAGCAGAGATTACTTTTTAAAATCCACTACAAAGCAAGCAAAGGATAACTCTGCTTGAAATTCTTACTCTGCCTGTCAAAACTTTGGCAACCATACTTCTCTGTTTCTGGAGAATGCACTCTGATATTCAGATGTTGCTGAAACACTAGTTTCAAAGTCAGATTTGGAAGATAATGTAAAATTTGGCTAAGAGCTGAAAGGGGATGAAGGAATTGAAGATGCAGAGTCCACTCCCCCACTCCCCGTCTCTTGTGGAAACCACATGTGGGAAAGCTAGGAAGAAGGCTTTTCCAGGTGAGGTCTCCCACCTCCTTCTTGAGTACTTATGTGCCTCCAGTCGCTGTGGCAGGAATCTGAACTAGGCTGATTGCCTCAGACTGCTGGGGTCATGAGCAAGTTTGGGGAAGATCCATGTTCATACAAGTGCTTGTTTTTCCTGAAAGACAATAATAAGCCTTGATCTAAGTGTGGGCTGTTCATCTTTATTTACACTCTTCCTCTGAACAGCTTACACCAGTCTTTGCCCCAGAAAAGAGAGGGGCAAAGAAAGGGTTGAAATTTTGGAATAGCCCCAAGTTAAAAAGGGTGTTTTTGGACAGGTTGCACATTGAACAAGATCTTTGAGTTTGGAAAATGGTTAGCTGTACATTGGGGTAAGAAATCTGGACTTGATAATTTTTAATAGGGGAAGAAATATCTGTTCTTTAATACATCTTTTGGTTTCCTTTAAGTTTTTTCAGCTTTGCTAAGGAGAAGTAAGCAGAAGGGATTGCTTTTTGTTCATACTTGGACCAGAAAGGAAAGAGGAGAGACTGTGCCTTGGGGATCCATGGATTGTGTTGTCAGCAGAAATCAAAGTGTCTGTGAAATGCGGTTACAGGAAGAAGCTCCAAATAAAAGTATTATTTGGCTCCGCCCTGAGCCTTTTCTGGCTCTTTCCTAAGAGTTTGTTCCAATTGCTTTTCAGCCCTTCCAATTTGAGACTCATTCAATTAGTAGGATGAAGATATATTAGGTTGGTCTATAGGCAACTGCTGATATTTGTTTTGGGCCTATGTATTAAATTGGTTTTTCTCCCGTTAATCTGGTTTTGTGTCAATTTTATTATTAGTCCAGCCATAAGAACTTAAAAAGGGTAGAGGGGAAGAATTCTCCCCCTCCAGACACAATATACATAATAAGAACTCTGAATGTTAGCTGCTGTAATTATGATTAAAGATAATAATAGATTACATAGTCCACATCCCTCATTTTATAGATGGGAAAATCCTGCAAAATTATGGGCATACCCATCCTTCCTCAAAATGTTACTCATTCTTCTGAAGGGGAGCAGAATTTGCTATCCCAAAATAATGTCTCTTTGGCATAAGGATTATTATAGGCTGATTATTTTTAAGAAACAGCAAACATAGGAAAAGCTCTGAAAATTGAGTACAAGGTACCCTTTGGTGAGAACAATTTACATGTATAAGGGAAATCTCCATTTGTAAAGGTTTCTCCCTCTCTGTACCAGGAAGAGGAGGATGACTTTAATCTCTAGAAACTCTTATAGATGGAGAAGGCAGCAACCTAAATCTGCATAACAACCACACTCATTTACTGTGCTTTTCCTGATAATCTCTCATAACTGCTCCCCCCATAGCTTATTTTATTGTTAGCTGGAGATAGTATTTAAAGTGTTGGCTAGAAGAATAACTTAATTTTCCTTGGAACCTCCCATGTATACAGGAGGTATACACCAGTCTCCAGGCGATTCCTTAGGGGTAGATGCACTGTTACTTAGGACTGAGAAGCACAGACATATTTTTTTAAAAGGTTAATCTATCTGCAAGCAGGATCCTTATCTAAAATTCCACAAAATGCATCCTTCCAGCAAAACTAGGGAGAAGGAAGTTAAGACAGTGTGAAGTAAATGTGAACTTCAACTCTGAGTAGTCTGCAGCTGAGTGCCCTGTCACAGCAAAGGCGTTTTCTGAGAATGGAGAGAGATGCTGTAATCCTCTTGGCTGCCTCCCAAATTCCCCATCATTTGTCAGCCCGAGATCCTTTGTTTCATCTGGGCTTGTTTCCCCTTTCAGAGCTCAGATCATGTATGAATATTCACATGTTGCCTTTAAAAACCCACCTACCCCATACTCAGTTATCTGTGAATAGAAAAGAAAATCAATTCTGAGGGTTTTAGTTTGGTGTTTCTTTCATTTTGCTTATAAACACATAATCGTCTGACTTGATTTTATGACTCTGTAATGGTAGGCTTCATATATATATATATATATATATATATGTAATTTTTATAATTCTTAATAAATACATACGTATGTATTTAGATAAAGGAGGCCGCAGTTCTGAAGTTTTGCTGTAACCTCACATCTCAGTCTGCAAAATCGTATAAAGGGCTCTGGCTTCCAATGTTGGGATAAGTCTCATATAACAGTAAGATAGGAAAATTATAGGCAGTCAGGGAAATGGCCAAGGTAGAGGGAATCAGGGTGAAAACCATAACAAAAGCCAGAAGAAATAATTTTAATAGCTGACTGATAGGTTTAAGTCACAGGACCCCACCAGAATGACAAACTTGGGAGGGAAATTCCATCGGGAGAAAGAAATGATTCAGTCCAAAGTCTTGAGGTACTTGAGGACATCAGAGAGGCTTATTCTGTACATATATGCTTATAAATGGGTCACTGCATATTTGGCCCAGGAAGAGAAAAAGTTACATCTCATGTATCGTTAGTTTATTCCTTGAAAGCTATCAGAAGAGAAGGGGCACCCTCTGTGAAATAATAAAGTCAGGAGGGAAAGATAATTTCCCTTGTCAAAACTAGATCCACACCTACCTTTTTGGATCATATTCATTCCATTAAATTGGATATGCCTAACCTGGGGAAATTGACACAGCAGTATAAACAAAAATACATGAGGATGGGGAGAACTGGTAAGAATGAATCACTTAAATAGCCTCTTCCCTCCCTCTGCACT